AACTGGTCATTTCTTCAACTGCTGTAGAGACAATAAAGCTGCCATGCACTGAGAGGTGGAGGGACATCCTTTGACCCAGCTCAGCTCTACACTGCATGTCCCTGCACTCCAAGGGGACCATTGTTCTTTATCTGGCCTGCTGCAGAGCTCAGGAAACCCTCCTGAGCAATCCTGTAGATGAAATTCACCCTTTCTTTTTATTTTTTTTGTAATTTTAAAACAGGATTTATTTTATTCTATGTGTCTGAGCGTGTACCACCAGACCCAGCTCTGAAATTCAACTTTTCATTGACTAATGCAGTTTATTGAATCCAAGAGCTTTAGAATCCCCAAACTGACTGGGCAGTGCTGGTGAATGCCTTTAATTGTAGCACTAAGAAAGCAGAGGCAGGCAGATCTCTGTGAGTTTGAGATCAGCCTGATCTGCAGAGCAAGTTCCAGGACAGCCAGAGCTACACAGAGAAAATGTTTCAAAAATTAAAAACTAAAACAAACAAAAAAAGAAACAAAAAAAATCCCCAACTGTGACCATACCTTTAATCTCAGCACTTGTGAAGCAGAAGCAGGCAAGCAGGCAGATCTCTGTAAGTTCAAGGCCAGCCTGGTTCACATAAGGAGTTCTACGACAACACAGTGAGACCAAGTCTCAAAAACAAAAACAGTAACAAAAAAACACAAAAACCCATACAAACAAACAAACAAATAAAAAATCCTGTAACAGTCCAGAAAGTCGCTGAATTGTCCTCAGAACACTAAAAGGGATTCACTGGGACAGCCCAAAAAGCTTGTCAAAGTTAGAGTGATTTGTGTCAGAGAAGAAGTTCTTGGGCTGGGGAGATGATTTGGTCATTAAGGTACTTGCATGTAAGCATGAGGAACCGAGTTCAATCCCCAGAAGGGATGTAAAGGCAGGGTACCACAGTATGTACTTGTAATCCCAGCCCTGGGGAGGAAAACACAGCCTGAGACCTTGGGCTTGCTGGCCAGCCAACCAAGCCTCATCAGTGAACTTCAGGTCCCAGTTAGAGATTCTGTTGCAAAAGACAAGGTGGGCAGGCCTGAGGATCAACACCCAGGGATGGCATCTGGCATGTGCGCACGCACACACACACACACACACACACACACACACACACACACACACACACACAGTACAAGTTGTGATTGGTCTGGGGCAATCCAATCTAGACAGAGGGCAGGTAGAGAAAGAGACTTCAGAGTAGGAAAGGAGAGACGAGAGAGTGCATTCCTGAGGCTGTGCCCTAACGTGTACCTTCACTGGCTGTGAAAAGGACTTTTTATCTTTGGATGGAGAGTAGAATAGACAGGGCTGAGAGCTGACTTGAAGATTCAGGTTTCTGGGAATGGACCCATGAAACCATATGGCCCTCGGGTCTTGAGTCTGGAAGAAAGTAGTGTCCTCTCAGGTCAGCTCCGTGAAAGTTCCGTGTCTGTCCTAGTCATTAGCTGGAGTGAGACCTGGTGTCCACATCATAGAGACCCTACATCCAGTATGTCCTATGTGTTTGTTGTTTTTTGAGACAGGGTGTCTCTGTGTAGCCCTGGATGTCCTGGAACTCACTTTGTAGACCAGGCTGGCCTCCAACTCAGAGATCCACCTGCCTCTGCCTCCCAAGTGCTGGATGTAAAGGCGTGCTCCACCACTGCCCTGCTAATTATGTCCTCTGAAGGACTATAAGCAGAGCACAGCAGGCTGAGGAAGAGTGTGCTGTGACATTTGTCATCCATGTCTACAGTACAAGGGATGTGGGTGTGACACTGGGAGAGGCCTGGGACCCTGCTACTTGGTCTTCATGCCTTCTATGACCTCTAGTTTAGAATGTTTTGGACATTGTGTAAGGGCCATAATCCAGTGGTTGTCAGTGAACAATTGGAGACAGGGTTTCAAGCAGGCCAGGCCGACACTGAATTCTTCATCTCCCTGTGCCCACCTCCCAAGAGCTGGGATTACAGTTGTGTGCCACCATACCTGCCTGTAATTGTGACCATTGAAAAGGAGACTCCAGGACACACTGAGTGGCTCCTTACCTTTGCCATGAGGTCTGATGACATACACATGGCACAGCTGTTCAATGCCTTTTCCATCCAGATCTGGGCGGCAACATTGCTCAACAGTATCTTGAAGTTGGAGCAATCCTCTTCCCTCCCCCAGTCTAGAGTCCTGGTTTTCACAAACACACCCAGACACAGCCAAGAGCCCTTGGTAGGGAAGGACCTTCCACAGACAGGGAAAGGTCATCCACCTGCTCCCAGCAGGAGCCTGATCGGCCTGACACCCTCACCTCCTGCAGGAAGGACACATCTGGGGCTCCATGAGGAGGACAGCTCTCATCCTGGGCTCTGGGCTGCTCTTGTCTGTAGCCTTCTGGAACTCAGTCACATGGTAAGCATGCCCCACATCTTTGGGGTGGAGGCAGGGCATGAAAGAACTGGCTTCCCCATCTGCTCGCAACCATGTAAATGCTTTTCTCTCCAAGGCATCTTCAGAGGTTTTGGGGTGCTTCTGGCTACTTTTGGCAGACCCAGTGGGAGAAACTGCTGTCTACATTTGAAGGCAACGAGTGGATGCTGTTCCTTATAGGTGAGGATGCAAGTTGAGGGCTGTGTGTTGGACTCCACACTTGTTCTTTCCCCATACTAGTTCATTATCATTTGTTGTTGTCGTTTTATTATCATTATTATATTTATTTCATGTGCCTATGAAGGAGGCATGAGCATGCCAGAGCACGCATGTGGAGGTCAGAGGACAATTGCAGAAGTTGGTTCTTGCCTTCTACCATGTGGTACTGGGAACTGAACTCAGGTGTCAAGCTTGCTGCAAATGCCTTTACCTGTTTGTGGCTTCAATCTGCTGCTTCTTGTTGGGTTATTTGTTTTTGGTGTTGGTTTTTTTCAAGACAGGGTTTCACTGTGTAGTTTTGGCACCTGTCCTGGCTCTCTCTCTGGAGACCAGGCTGGTTTGAACTCACAGAGATCCTAGTGGTTCTGCCTCCTTAGTGCTGGATTAGACTTGTAGCCACCACTACTTGACCTTGTTGTGTTTTGTTTTTTTTTTTTTTTTTTTTTTTTTGGTTTTTCGAGACAGGGTTTCTCTGTGTAGATTTGTGCCTTTCCTGGAACTCACTTTGGAGACCAGGCTGGCCTCGAACTCACAGAGATCTTCCTGGCTCTGCCTCCCGAGTGCTGGGATTAAAGGCGTGCCCCACCACTGCCCTGCTTGTTGTGTTTTTTGAGACAGGGTCTCATTATGTAGTCATGGCTGTCCTGGAATTCAGATTATAGACCAGGCTGTACTTTCACTCACAGATATCCTCCTGCCTCTGCTTCTTGACTGTTAGGATTACAGCATGCTCCACTACCTGCCCAACCTGCTGTTTTTAACCAAGGTTTTTGCTGAAAACTTGTAGCCAACTGCCCCGTGAGCAAGGGCTTAATATTTCAAAGTGGCAGCTCTGTTCTGTCATGTGAAGGACTCTTAGGTCATCTCCTACTCACAGAGCATTAGGCTACTCTAAATGTTTCCTGTGATTAAAATTACAATTTATTTCCTGTATGTGTTTGTGTGTATGCTTGAGTCTATGCACCATGCTCATATATGAGCTGGGAGGTCAGAGGAGGGTATTGGTTTTCCTTGGAGTTGCAAATGGTTGGGAGCCACGATGTGGGTGCTGTGAATTGTACCTGGGTCCTCTGGAAAAGCAGCCAGTGATCTTAATTGTTGAGCCATGTCTCTCTATCCCCCAGGTATTCTTGTGATTTTTATTTTATTTTGATTTTTCCAGACAAGGTTTCTCTGTGTAGCCCTGGCTGTACTGAACCTAACTATGTAGACGAGTCTGGCCTCAAACTCACACATATCTGCCTGCTTCTGCCTCCCAAGTCCTGGGATTAAAGGCCTGCACCACCAAGGTCCCACTTCTAAAATATTTATGGAGTGTCAGCACTGGGAATAATAGACCAGGCAGGCAAACTGTTTCACCATCCATAAGGAACACTGCTCAGAGCAAAATGAAATGTCATCAGTAACTGTGCTTAGAGGGTACAGCAGCAACACTTATCCCAGCAGGCAGATGAGGCCGGAGGATTGCCATGAGTTTGGGGTCTGTCTGGACTATACAGTGAGTTTCAGAGCAGCCTAGGACAGAGTGAGACCCTGCCTCTAAACAAGTCAAACAAAACAAAACAAAACCCAAAACCCCAGGTGTGGTGAGACACACCTTTAATGCCAGCATTTGAGAGGCCAAGCCAGGGGTGAAATGAGTTCAAGGCCAGCCTGGACTACACAGAGAGACCCTGTCACAAACACACACACAGGGGAGGGGTGAACACACATAGTCAGACTGACAGACAGACAAGACAGAACAAACACGGACATTTAGTGACTTTTCCAGATTCCATGGCTAGGACACAAGCAGTGTGCCACCAGGCAGGGACAGATCCATGCAGGTGTTCAGTCACTTCCTAGTGAGCTACTGTTGTACCCAGGGCTGCTCTAGGACCCTCTGCTCTCTGCCTCAGGTGCTGCCCTGGTGCCTGGGCTCTGCTTCTGGGGCTTCAATGGCCTCCTGCTGGTGGTGGACACCACAGGAAAACCCACCTTCATCTCCTGTTACCGCATCCAACTGGGCAAGAATGAGCCGGTGAGTGTCACTGCGGCTGTTAGTCTGGGGATGCAGGGACCAGAGTCAGGGCAAGAAGATGACTTACCTTCCAGGTGACCTGAATCCAGCTAAGAGAGAAGGGAGCGTGTGTGTGAGTGTGTGTGTGTGTGTGTGTGTGTGTGTGTGTGTGTGTGTGTGTGTGTGTGTGTGTGTGCTTGGTTGGTAGAGTGCTTGTCTAACCTGAAAGAAGCCCTGGGTTCCACCCCCAAAGCACATATGCCATGTAAGGGTGTGCAGCTATAATCCAAGTATTCAGGGAAGTGGAGGCAGGAAGATTAGAAGTTTAAGGTCATCCTTGACTACATGAGAAGTCTGAATGTACCTAGGGCTACATGAGACCCTGTCTAAAAGAAAAGGCCAGTGAGATGGTTCAGCAAGTAAGGTCATCTGCTGCCAAGCCCGAAGACCTGAGTTTGATCCCTGGAACCCACACAGAGGAAGAAGAAAAACTTCATTTATTCTGACCTTCAGGTGCTCATCAGGGCACAGAGACACCTATACACACACACACACACACACACACACACACACACACACACACACACACACACACACACCAGTAAAAAAAACAAAATGAAAAGGCCACTCAGCCAGTCACCAGTCTACACCAATGTCCTGGTCTTGTTGTTCCCAGCACAGGATGCCTCATGACACTGTGCTTAGCGTATTAGGGAAAGAAATGACTGCCTCAGCCTGGCCTGGGCTGTCTCAGAGACACCAGCAGCACTTTACCCATGGCACAGGGACCATGGATCTGAAACCAGACATCCACTGCCCCAAGGGAGGAAACTTCACTGTGGCAGATGGTGGTGCAGACCGTGGATGAATGAGGTAGTCATGTTAGCAAATCCTTATTTATTTTTTTGTTAAGACAGGATCTCTCTATGTAGTTCTGCCTGTCCTGGAACTCACTATGTAGACCAGTGTGGCCTTGAACTCACAGAGATCAGCCTGCCTCTGCCTCCCAGGTGCTGATATCAAAGGCATGCACCACCATCATCCAAGGCAGCCAGCAGAGTGAGCTGTCAAGATAACCACAGGAAGGCAGGAACAGCTCCAGCTTCTTAGCAGCTGCACTTGCTCACTGTAGGGGCTGAATCACCACACTGCAGTCTGGCCCTGCCTGCCTGCTGCTCTGACAACCTGCAGACAATCTTCCCTTACACAACCCTGCAGAGGTTGATTAGGAAAACAAGCTGTTCCCTCAGCCCCACCCAACTCTCCTGGCAATTGGCTGTTAACCTGCCCAGGTGCCCAATGAGTCACCTCTGCTCTCAAGGAGTCTGCCCAGCCTGACCCTGAAGGCAGTAGGGTGGAAAGGAGTCCTGGTGGAGCCCTGTGAAATGGTCCCCTCCTGAGAGGACAGCCGCCAGAGAGCTGGGAGGCCCCTCCAGCTCCCCCTGGCAGAACAGCCTGGAAGCCCTTGTGTCAGTATTTGGCCTGTAAGACCCTTTCATCTGCAGACCTTCTGTCTCTGAGCAGCCACCATGACTAAATGCCTTCATCTTCAGGCTGAGCACTGTGGGGGCTGTCATGTTTCAGATGAAGCTTTGTCATGGACCCTGGGTATCACATGACATAGACTAGAACATCCTCTTTCTTCCCTTCTCCCAACCCAAACAGGGTCTCATTGGGCCCAGCCGGCCTCCACCTTCCTATATAGTTGAGGATGACCTTGAACTCCTATCTTCCTTCCTCCACCTCAGTATGTTATGATACTGAGGATCAATCCCAGGGCTCAAGGACACCAAGAAGGCCCTCTACCCACTAAGCCATGTCCCAGCCCTACCCTGGGCCTTTCCAGCTCCAGGGCTCCTACAGATCCTCAGCAGTCTACAGCTCTAGATATCATGTGCCACCTGGAAACCTTTCTGTATGCAGTGACTAGAGAGCAGTAGGCAGTGTGGGGGCTTCTCCCAGAGGCCAAGGTCTAGAGGTGAGGGACCTGTTCAAGTTTCAGCTTTCCAGGCCGCAGAGGCAGAGCTCAACCCATGAAACTCCAGGGCAGCACACCTGTGCTTCAGACTTTCTGAGGACACATCAGGAAGGAGCTTGGGACCATCTAGTCCCTGGCTAGCTGTGGGAGGTGCTGACTTTTGAAGGATCCTAGGAACAGGCTGCAGTGGGAGCTGATGGCGGCAGGCATTCCTAGCATCCTAGCCTGCCCACACAGACACTCTCCCATTCTCTCCTTCCTAACCTGGCTCCTGCTGCACCAAGGGAATGAAAGCCCCATAACCAGCTCCAACAGCACTGGGTCTCATGCTGTGTTCTGGCTTGTGCCTGCCAGTCTCCTGGCTCCTGTCCTTTTTGATCCAGGAAATGACTCTGCATGCTTCCCTCTTTCTTACTATTCTGTCTCTTTCAAAACCCAGCTAATTTCTCTTTGAATTGTCACGTAAATGCTTTACTTTTCCCATCTCTAAAAAGTAAAACACAAACCTTGGCTGGGTGTGATGGCACAGAGCTGGAATGGTGGCATCGAGAGGGAGGTAGGAGGAGAGATCAGGAGTTCAAGAGCAGCTTTCCCTACATGAGACTGTTTCAATACATTAAAAAATGTGTGTGGGTGCTTTGTCTGCATGTATGTCTGTGTACCACACATATGGGGCACCCAGAGTCCACAAGAAGATACCAGAGTGACAGTAAGGAGCCACCATATGCATGCTGGGAATCTCACTGGGTGCTCTGTAAAAACAGCCAGTGCTGGTACTCAGTCATCTCTCCAGCAGCCAAGACTATTTCCAAATCCAAAACCAGCCCCTGCCCCACTTAACCCAAGTCCACACCGCCTCCTGTTATGCTTCCCATGAAGCACAACTCTCTACAGAGTCAACTATGCACTCAAGCTGTCTACACTGTCTCAGAGTCCTCTGTGCATCTTCTCAGAGCATCTACACTGTCTCAGAGTCCTCTATGCACCTTCTCAGAGATGTCTACACTTTCTCAGAGTCCTCTATGCACCTTCTCAGAGCGGTCTACACTGTCTCAGAATCCTCTATGCACTTTCTCAGAGCGGTCTACACTGTCTCAGAATCCTCTATGCACTTCTCAGAGCTGTCTACACTGTCTCAGAGTCCTCTGTGCACCTTCTCAGAGCTGTCTACACTGTCTCAGAATCCTCTATGCACTTCTCAGAGCGGTCTACACTGTCTTCTCAGAGCTGTCTATGCACTTCTCAGAACTGTCCATGTCCTCTCAGAACGGGCTATGCAGTGTCTGACCCTCCTCTTGGCTGTCTTTTTTCCAGCATTTAATAGTAAGGAAGTTGTAAACATCGAGAAATGTAGGAAAAATATAGGAGACTCATCCACACACCATTTCAGATTCAACCATTTACTCTGTAACTTTTTCCTAAACTGTTACAAGTTTGAGACACTGGGTGACTCCTATTGTTTCTAGTCTCTTTCTGCTGACTCCTCCATCCTGTTTCTCTAGTCCTAATTCTCAGATACCCAGGGGGCATCCTGTAGCCACCAGGGCACTGGGTGGAGGCTGACAGTTCTTAGGTAATGCAAAGTGACCACTTAGCCTTTATTTATGGGACCAGTTTTTCAGCATCTCTGGATTGGCCACAAGTAGAGCTAAGATGGAGGACCTGCCCATGCTGGCCTCACACCCATCCAGATGCCTTGTTCCCTTTATGTGGCTAGGACAGTCTAGCCTGCTCTGAGGTCAGAGACCTCTTCTGAAATCCTTCATCAAGATGGCTAAGCCAATCATCACTGCTTATCTGTTCCTATGTGTTTAACTGGTATTTGCTTCATTGTCCTTGTAGAGCACTGGGTGTTCTGTAGGCCAGAACTCAGTAGTGGCAGACCCTGACCCACAGGACTTATGCTCTGGTGAGGAATTCTCCAGGACAGGCAAGGACTATACAGCTCACCATGGCCAACGCCACACTGTGGACTATCCCAATCACTCCCAAAAGCCCACCCTGAGCAGGTCAGGTAGAGACCTACTTCACATGTCCCCTTTCTCCATTCCTTCTGTCTCCCGGCAGGTGGACCCCGTGAAGCTGCGTCAGTCTATCCGCACAGCTGTTTTCAACCAGACTATGATCTCTCTTCCCATGCTGGTCATCTTCTACCCTTTCTTCAAGTGGAGGGGAGACCCCTGCTGCCGAGACCTGCCCACCTTCCACTGGTTCCTCGTGGAGCTGGCCCTTTTCACCCTCATGGGGGAAATCTTGTTCTACTACTCACATCGGTGAGTTCTCTACATACACACAGCTGGATTCACCCTGGGACAGCTCCCTGGTCAGCAGAGGCCACTGAATGTCTCTGTCCTCAGGCCCCACACCCATAATTGCCTGAGACACAACTTAATCTCCAACTGACATGATGCTAAGTGAAGGAAGAGTTGCCCTGCTTGGGAGACCGGGTCAGTTCCCATCCACTTCCGGAGAGTCCTTTATGGCATCAGTTTCCTTCACCACTGGGGTTACCAGGCAACATAAGCCTGCCTTATCGTCCACAGTCAGACTAGAGGAGGGCAAGGAGTAGATGCCAGCTCCTCAGATGTGGACCTCATTCCCACCTTTGCTTTCTGATGATCTGCTCAGGATGGAGGCAAAGGGCAGGTTGGCAATTACCAACTATCAATTATCTTTCCAGGCTCCTTCACCACCCAACGTTGTACAAGAAAATTCACAAGAAACATCATGAATGGACAGCACCCATTGGTGTGATCTCACTCTATGCCCACCCTATTGAACACGTGGTAAATACAGCCCCTGGAGCTCAGAATGGAGGCTGGTGGTTCTCTGCCCTTGTAATCTTTCTTCCCACTGAAAAGCTGCCATCTCTTAGCTATTCCAGGTGCCCAGTGTGTGTTACATTATTCTCCCCAACCTTCTATACACTGACTCTGCTCCAGAGGAAGGTGAAGCTGAGTTGAGTGTCCTAAGTTACAAGCCAAGGTCTCCCTGCCGCACCACTCAGGGCAGAGTGAACACCCAGCTGGGTCCCTCCATCTCCTGGAATCATCCTCTCTCTTACAGGTTTCCAACATGTTGCCAGTTATGGTGGGTCCTCTAGCAATGGGCTCTCACCTGTCCTCCATCACTGTGTGGTTGTCCTTGGCCCTCATCATCACCACTATCTCCCACTGTGGCTACCACCTGCCTTTCCTGCCCTCACCTGAGTTCCACGACTACCACCACCTCAAGTAAGCCAACAGCACCCTTGTTGCAAGACCCAAGTGTCTGCAGACAGTGGAGTCTCCATCTGAATGTCAGCCAGTCAGGGGGACACCTGGGTACAGGGAAGATGATAACTAGGTAGGGCCACCTCCATCTTTTTTCCTTTCCCTTTGACACCAGGTCCTTCCTGCAGTTTGGAATTATTTGGAAACATTATTTGGGTTCTGTGCCTGCTGAATCTCTCATGAGCCTTGAATCATCTCCTGGAACCTGTGTGCATAAAAATTTGGCACTTTTATGCAATGTGGGCTCTTTCCTTGGTTTTGAGACAGGGTTTTCCATGTAGTCCTTGCTATCCTACTTCTCATGTAGACCAGGCTGGCCTCAAACTCAGAGATCCTCCTGCCTCTGTCTCCCAAGTGGTGGGATTAAAGTTTCCACACCAAAAATAGGCCTCATCCCTTGTCTTGAACCACTCCACCCTCAAAGAAAAGAGGTGTGGCTGGGCGGTGGTGGCGCACGCCTTTAATCCCAGCACTCGGGAGGCAGAGCCAGGCGGATCTCTGTGAGTTCGAGGCCATCCTGGTCTCCAAAGCGAGATCCAGGAAAGGCGCAAAGCTACACAGAGAAACCCTGTCTCGAAAAACCAAAAAAAAAAAAAAAAAAAAAGAGGTGTGAAGGGCGTGGTGGCAGGCCTTTAATCCCAGGACTCAACCGTGGGTCTCTATAGTGAGGTATCTCAGCACCCACCACATGTCTGCTTTGGTCCTGTGCATACCTACAGCCCTAGCACTGAGGAGTCAGGATAGCTGGGGATTTGGTGAACCCAGGTCAGTGGATTTGGTGAAGAGGTGAACTCCAGGTTCAGGAAGAACAAGGTAAAGAGAGGTAAGGTCAGTGGAGAACATCAATGCCCCACACTCTGGTCTCTGTGCATGTAGTCATGCGCAGTACCCAGAAGAGGGCAGGCAGGCACTTGCCCACGATATGAAAGGCCCAGGGTTCAATACTCCAGTTCATAATCACACAGTGGCTCTCAACTTTAACAAAAACCTTAGACCACCCTCAAAGGGAATACTTCCAATGCTCCAGGATGCTGTTATAGCCGGGCAGCACGGTGATGCTAAGCATGGGAAGGAGGGCTGGGACCCAGGGAGAACCACAGCTTCCCACCAGGTTCAGCTGAGACATTCTCTTCCATCCTTCAGGTTCAACCAGTGCTATGGGGTGCTGGGGGTGCTGGATCACCTGCATGGGACTGACATCATGTTTAAGCAGACCAAGGCCTACGAGAGACATGTCCTCCTGCTGGGCTTCACCCCACTTTCAGAGAGCATCCCTGATCCTCCAAAGAAGATGGAGAGTAGTAGTCTGCTTGGACCATCCAGAGTGTTTCCTCACAAGTAGGAGGTGTGGAGACTGCCTGGGGGCCATGCCGCCCTTAACAACTTGCCTCCTTTGGCCACCATACTCTGAGGACTGTACCATTAGGGTAAAGGGAATGCATGCTTCCTGTCGGGACAAGGCCATGGTATGATCTGGGCTTCTCTCAAACTACTTCTCATGTTCGTTAGGACCAGGAGTTGACTTAGGAAAGAAGAACTAGCTATTTGGGCTGGAGGCCATCCAATGGAGAAAAGTCACTGAGAGCCTGGGGGAAGCCTTGGTCCTCGGCTCCAATACCCCAAAGAGCTAGCTCCCCTGAGGCCTAGGTTGGATACGGAGAATGGGGTGATAGTGGGACTGGAGGCTTCCTGGCTCCACACACTTCTTTCACACCCATAGCCAGGGCACCCTGTGGTAGTCACAGGCCACATGTGTTGACATGCTAGATGTGGTCCCTGCTTCCTACCAAGAAAGCCTGGGTGACTTTTGCCCTCCAAAGATACAAACCCTTCAGAAGAAACAATGACAGGCCACAAGATTTTCTCGGTATGACGTGCATGATTTTAATCCCAGCCCTCGGGAGGCAGAGGCATGTGGATCTCTGTGAGTTCGAGGCCAGCCTGGTCTACAAAGTGAGTTCCAGGAAAGGCACAAAGCTACACAGAGAAACTTTGTCTCGAAAAACAATAACAAAATAAAACAAAAATTAAGCATTTGAAACACCATAGGGTGACCCCAGCTTTGCACACTCCAGACACTGATTTCAAAAACACAAGACCTTGCAGATTGCTGCTCTGCCAGCCAGGCTCCCTGGTAAGGGATGTCAGGCTTTGTGGGCTCAGCATTACCACCCCCACTGAAGCCCCCTGGTGTGGGTGTGCCTGTCACCTCATCATGAGCCCACAGCCACACTGGCTGCAGTGGTCGCCATCTGGGCAGGCTGTCAGAGGAGCTACCTGGGATGAGAGGATTTGGTCTCTATGTGTCATCCTGAGTGTTTCAGCTGCTCATCATCTAGATATTCTAAACTGTCAAAAAGGTGTGCCTGTGTGTGTGTGTGTGTGTGTGTGTGTGTGTGTGTGTGTGTGTCCACCCTCTAGGGCACACACTCAGACAAAATGCATGTGTGTGTATCTGTGCACTCCTGCAGAGATCAGAAGACACCAGTATCCTTGTAGTTGGAGTTACAGATGTTTGTAGGACACCTGGCTCACTATATGGTTCTGGGATTAAAACTCCAGTTCTCATGTATGGTGATATTTTATTCGTGCTAAAATGTAATTTTATTTGTATGTTAATAAGTAAAGTTGCCTGGTGGTCAGAGCTAATAGCAAGCCAATTAGCAGAAGTCTGGCACTGGTAGCACATGCCCTTAATCCCAATCACATGGCAGGCAGAGTCTGTGTGTTCAAGGACATAGCCAGCATGGAGATACAGGCCTTTAATCTCAATACCAACCATAGAGACCTGGAAGTCTATATAGACAGACAGTTATAAGGAGATCATGTGGTTGAGTTTAGAACCAATGAGAAAGCAGAACAGAAAGTCAATAAAAAATACAGACACACAGGAAGTAGGTCTCTTTCTCAGGGAAGAATGGTAGTGGCAGAAGGTGGTAAGAAGGTGGTCTCAGTTCTTGGCTACTGCTCTCTGATCTCTGGGCTTTTAACTCTGCATTTGACTCCTGGTTTCTTATTTAATAAGACTGTTCAGAATTACATCTACATTTGGCGCCCACATGGCAAGAATTCATTAAAAACCACAGACTCGGCCGGCTCTGCCTGGCTCTGCCTGGCGCCTGGTCTGACTGACTCGGCCAGAGTTCACAGGCCCCAGGCCCGGCCGGCAACTCTCGAGGTGGGAGTTTAAGGAAGCCTGAGCCCAGGCTCGACTCAGCTCAAGCAGGAGCTTGTGGCTGGATTTAAGCTTTTAGCCAGAATACGTTGCTATGCTCTCTCTCTCTCTCTCTCTCTCTCTCTCTCTCTCTCTCTCTCCTCTCCTCTCCTCTCTCGCTCTCTCTCTCTCTCTCTGGATTCCCATCTCAGACTCTAGGTAGCTGTTTTGAAATTCCCTCAGATTTCTACTGTTCTACTCAGAGTTGATATCAATTAAGATATCAGATATTTTAAAGGGAAAAACTACTTAAAAGAGAAAAAATTAAAAAATGGGTATTATGTGTACATTAGAATAAAAATTGGACTTTGATGAAATTTTAGGCAATCTGAAAATGGAACAACTATATGAGAAGATTAATGATGATGGGATGTACATTACACCAATTATGCACATTATTACTTTCCTTATCCTTATTTTACTATTTAAAAAGATAGTCAAATTAAGTGCCAAGATAAAAGCTTTAGAAAAACCTGTTAAAATTAATTATAGAGAAATTCAGATTCAGACAGAAGAATTTAACGGTGAAATTATTACAGGATTGGACTATAAGGTTACAGAAAGAAAGCCTGTTTTCAAACAATCACCCTTCATTTATCCGGTAACTGTACAGCAGCTACCTGGTCAAATGAATGCATAAAATAATTGGACTCCAATTGAAATGTTAGATTTAAGAAGATTTAAGGAGGCAATAGTATCTTATTACATACATTCCCCACTTGTAAAGCAAATGTTAAAGTCCGGGTCAACTTGTAATAAGATTAGACCTCAGGACTGGAGAGAGCCGGTAAATGCTGTCCTGGAACCCGGGGCACAGCTGCAGTGGCGTATGTGGTTCAGAGATGAAGCTAAAAACAGAAAAATCAGTGGAGGGCTAGAGGTGTGCAAATCTCTGAGGATCACCTTGTTGGAGAAGACCAATATGCTGAAATACAAAGACAATGTTTATATGATAACCAAATCCTAATTCTATGTCGAATGGCAGCCTTGAATGCATGGGACAGAATTGAGGAAGGAAGAAAGAAAACTGAGTCATTCATAAAAGTTATACAGGGCCCAAAATAATCCTTCACTGATTTCTTACAAAGACTGACTTCAGCAGTAATTAGAATGGTCCCAAACTCAGAAGCTAGCCAGATAATAATCAAATCTTTGGCTTTTGAGAACTTGAATGCAGCATGCAAGAGAATAATCAGGCCATTAAAGACAAGATCTTCTTCCTTGGAAGATTGGATTAGAGACACGTTTAATGTTGAGTCTCATGGCCATGATGACATGTGGATAAGAGAAGCAATTTCAAGAGGTTTGAGGATTGTCAGATATTTTGGATGTGGAAAGCAAGGACATTTGAAAAGGGACTGTAAACAGGGCATTCCTAGAAACAATGTTTCTTCAAGGAACAATGGCAACAGAATTCCTCTTCCTTCTGGAGTATGCAAAAGTTGTGGTAAGGGTAAACATTGGACCAATGAATGTAGATCAACAAGGGACAGACAAAGTAATCCTTTGTCTCTGTTGGGAAACTCTGAGATGGGCCTCAGGCAGGCCCCCACAGCAAATCCAGTTCAGACCTTTCCTGCAGTCATAGAAGAAACCCCTACTCAGAACAATTAAATAACCAAATGCCTATTGGAATAAATCAGGCTGCTCGGGATGATGAAACAGCTGAGACAGAGAGAACAGAAAATTCAGGAGAAACCATAAAGAAATTTTTTTGGCAAACTTCTATAAATGAACAAAGACCAAAACTAACAATAAAAATAAATGGTGTTTTGTTGTCTGGTCTGGTAGACACAGGTGCTGATGTGACCATACTTGCACCAGAATTTTGGCATCTAACTTGGCCTCTTCAGGAGGTAAATGTTCAGCTGTTAGGAATTGGAACATTATCTCAAGTGAAACAGAGTGCAAGATGGCTCGAATGTATAGGTCCAGAAGGACAGAGAAGAAAATTAAAACCATATGTGGCTAACATAGCTATGAACCTGTGGGGTCAACACCTGTTGCAACAATGGAACACTCAGATTAACATCCCTCCATCCTCAGAAACAAATCATAAACTAGCACATGTTTCTGAGAGAAATATTAGAAGGTATTATTCTAATGAGTGGTCACCAGCCATCCAGATTGTACAAGGATAGGGCACAACAACTGATGATCTTCCAAAGACACCAACAGCTCTACCTTTAAAATGGTTAACAGACAAGCCTGTATGGGTTTAGCAATGGTCTTTAACAACAGAGAAACTCCAGGCTTTAGAAGAGCTGGTAGAAGAGCAGTTAAATGCTCAGCATATTGAAGAATCAACCAGCCCTTGGAATTCTCCTGTATTTGTTATTAAGAAGAAATCTGGTAAATGGAGAATGGTAACAGACCTTAGAGCAATTAACAAAGTAATTCAGCCAATTGGCTCTCTATAGTCCAGAATTCCTTTGCTTACTCTATTACCTAAAGGATGGCCTCTTAAAGTCATTGATTTAAAAGACTGTTTCTTTTCAATACCCTTACAAAAAAAAAGACAGAGAAAGATTTGCCTTCATGGTGCCTACTTAGAATAATTCTCAACCGGTTAAGAGATATCAATGGAGGGTCCTCCCACAGGGAATGTTGAATAGTCCAACCCTGTGCCAATATTTTATACAACAGCCATTGGAAGTGATATGTAAAAAAATTCCTAAATCTATAATTTATCATTATATGGATGATATTCTACTAGCTGACTCAAATGCAGATACTTTAGAAAGAATGTTTGAAGAAATACAGAAAATTTTGCCTTGTTGGGGATTACAAATTGCTCCTGAAAAGATACAAAGAGGAGATTCTCTTAATTATTTAGGATATAAAATAGGTCTATAAAAAATTGGACCCCAAAAGGTACAAATTAGGAGAGATTGATTACAGACTCTTAATGACTTTTAAAGATTATTTGGAGACATTTCTCATCTACGAACTATTGTTGGGGTAAAAAAACGATGAACTGAATAACTTGTTCAAAACCTTAGAAGGTGACAAGGACTTAAATAGTCCAAGAGAATTATCACCTGAAGCTGAGAAAGAATTGGCCTTGGTAGAAAAGAAAGTACATGAAGGACACGTGGATCGTATTGATCCAAAGCTGGATTACATTTTTGTTATTTTACACTTTAGGCATTCTCCTACAGGAATTTTAATGCAGAGCGAAGATATTATATTGGAATGGATATTTTTACCAAATAAATTGAATAAAAAATTAAAAACTTGGGGGACTGAAGAGATGGCTCAGAGGTTAAGAGCACTGGCTGCTCTTACAGAGGTCCTGAGTTCAATTCCCAGCACCCACATGGTGACTCACAACCATCTATAATGAGATCTGGTGCTCTCTTCTGGCCTGCAGGCATACTCTGCAAGCAGAACACCATACATAATGAATAAATAAATCTTTTTAAAAAATTAAAAACTTACGTTGAAAACATCTCTGACTTGATTTTGAAAGGAAAATTGAGACTTCGTCAATTAGCAGGAATAGACCCAACAGAAATTGTCATTCCTTTAACTAAGGAGGACTTTGAAAAATTATGGGCAGAAAGTGAACCTTGGCAAAGAGCTTGCAGTAATTTTTTGGGAGAAATTAACAGCAAATATCCCAAAAGTGATAGAATTGATCTTATAAAGAGAGCTGATTGGATTTTGCCTCAAATTGTATGGGAAAAACTCATATCTGGAGTTCATACATTTTATACAGATGCAAACCATCAAGGAAAGGCAGGTTACAAATCAGAAAATTTAAGTAAAGTGGTTCAAAGTCCTTATAATTCAGTTCAAAAATCAGAATTGTATGCTATTCTGTTAGTATTAATGGATTTTTCAGAACCTCTCAACATAGTTACTGACTCTCAGTATGCTGAAAGAGTGGTATTACATATTGAGACTGCAAAATTTATCCCTGATGAGTCAGAATTAACTTCACTATTTATTCAGTTACAAGACATAATCAGGAATAAGAGTCATCCTTTATATATACCTCACATCTGATCCCATATGGGTCTGCCAGGCACTCTAGCACAAGGTAATGATGAGATTGATAAATTATTGATAGGAAATGTGCTGGAGGCCTCAGAATTTCATAAAAAAACATCATGTCAATAGTAGAGTTTTAAAAAAGGATTTTTCCATAACCTGGCAACAAGCCAAGGAAATTGTAAGGAAATGTCCTACTTGTTCCTTTTACAATCAGATGCCATTACCAGCAGGATGTAACCCAAAGGGTACTCAGAGGAATGAAATCTGGCAGATGGGTGTGTTTCACTTTGCAGAATTTGGAAAACTGAAATATGTACACCATACCATCGATACTTATTCAGGATTTCATTGGGCAACTGCTTTGAGTTCTGAAAAAGCTGATTCTATAATCACTCATTTGCTAGCAGTTATGGCCATCATGGGTATACCTGCACAAATTAAAACTGACAATGCTCCAGCATATGTCTCTGTTAAAATGAAACAGTTTTTTGCTTATTACAATATAAAGCATATTACAGGCATACCACATAATCCTACAGGCCAAGCAGTTATAGAAAGATCAAACAGAACTCTAAAGGATATGCTAAATAAATAGAAAGGGGTAACAAAACCCCCCAGAAATAGACTGCATAATGAATTTTGAAAAACTTTGAATTTTCTCAATGCTAATGAGAAAGGAACAACAGCTGTAGAGAGACATTGGATAATAGAAAAAACTACAGAGTTAAATCAGCTTATATACTTTAAGGATGTGCTGACCTCAGAATGGAAACCAGGATATG